CAGAAGAGACAGACAGGCATCCACTCAATATATTTCATCTTCTTTATTATGTCAAGTAATGAGAAATAAAGAGACAGAAAACCGAGTTCTTAATAGCCTGTGCTCAGGCCAAAGAAGATTCCAGACAGAGGAATCACAGTGTATTTTTATTGGTTTATTATCTCCAACAGATAACTTAACCACGACAAAGAGCATACCACTTAATCCCAGACCTTCATCAATTACAAGTGCCCCAAGGTTAAGGATGTACTGTGCAGGCTACTGGATTGGGAGTTCATGGTAATGTCATATATACAAGTAGCAGTGAGTAAGAATCAGAAGAATGTTGCAAATATCACTGGAAGGCAATAATATTCTTCTTCACGCTTATTTCCACTAGACAATGGATTCAAGTGAAAGGACAAGACTGCAGCAAACAGGGTTATGCTGATGCATAAAAAGTAAATTAAGGTAAACTATAAATCAAACATAATGAGGACTTCATCTGTAACATCAAGAACAAGCCCACTTTTGTCATTAGTTTCTGGCTGTAAACAGATAATGTACATTCAATATTGGTGCTGCTGAGGTAACTGTCAATATCAATATTTACGTAATCATCAAACCTCCAGCTCAATACCAGACACAAAGACTGAAATTGAAATCTGTCCACGTATTTATTTCATAACCAAGTATATAGTACTTTAACTGTGCATACAGTTTAAAATGATATTCAACAATGAGCCAGATGGAATTATTTTTAAAATAATTCTATTTTACAGCTTTTTAAAAATTTTTTATTTTACAGCTTTTTGAAAGGAAAGATTTTCCTTTTAAAACAGAATCAACTATTCATCAAATAAAAAGAGAGAGAGAGAACATTATGTTCTCGGCTTAATTTTTCCATGAAGAACTCTAAATAAACAGAAGAAAGACATTCTAGAATGTGTGTTTTATTTCCTGTGCATGCAAGGTTGGAATCATATATACTTAGAAAGAGAAAGAATACTTTCTAAAGTAATGTATGTATAAAATTAAACATACTTTCAAATATAAAATTAATACCTTAATTATCAAGAAAATCACCCAGTGTTTGCTTTTTTTCATTTTACTGTTTTTAACATCTGCAAAAATACATTTTAGAACATTTACTTTCAGGTAATTAAGTGATGAGTACATCAATAATGATCATATTAGTCTCAAAACTGATCTAACAATAAACAGGAAAACGTGTGTGTATGTGTGTGTGTTAGCTTATCAGAGGAAAGGATAGGGGCTGAGAAGGGAAGGGAAGGAGAAGAGAGAGGAAAGAGGAATCAGAGACCTATATTTTTAAATATGTTAAGAGAATAGATTTTGTATTAAATGTTGTTACCAAACAAACAAAGCCACAAAAGGACCTGAAGCAATTCTTTGGAAGTGATGGATATGTTTAGTACTGTGGTTGTGGTGATTGTATCATGGATACATGACTATGTCTAAACTAGCAAGATGTAAACATTAAATATGTGCAATTTACATACTAATTATACCTCAGTAAAAATGAATATTTTCCCCCACACAGTGAGCAGGATAAACAGGAGAGAGTGTCAGCCTTCCCCTGGCAAGCCATTCAGCTGAGAATGTTACTGGATTTGGCGTGCAGATTGATCCAAAATAAATTAAAATTTACATGGCAGAATAAGTCATTTCAGGCATCGGCATGTTGGTTATTACTCACTCAATCACTTCCCTTATTGAGTGAAAAATTCAAAGTAGTTTTTTTTTAAAGTGTGAAGGGCTTCACTGCCGTGGTTTTGGATTGCCAGGACCTGGCTGAAGATGACTGGGACCCTAAACATCACCCATTCAGAGGCCTTGCTGTCACTTAAGGCAGATGTGTCCATGGAGCCTCTAGGGCAGCATGGGGATTCTTCCACGGTGGTTGAAATTAGTATTTCCTTTGTGTGAAAAGAGCAAAATCTAATTTTTGTTTGAAATTGCACCATGATTTTGGCTATTCCATAGATAGTTTCTGAGTTTCTGGAGCTTTGAGTCTAGAAACTTTGGAATCAGGTCTTTTTCACTTTTATATAGATATGGTAATAAATGTGAAATTACCTGGTATATATTTTACTTAAAACCTTCATGGGAACAGGTGTATAAAAAATAGAACATTGAGACTGTGTGTTGCAATCAATTTAAAAGAATGCCAAATGGTATAAAGTGCCCAAATAGTGACCTTAGGTTTCAAGACCATATGCATACATATACAAACACACATATATGACAAACTATCTTTCAAGAACATAGATTAAATATATGCCTAGATTACATACCATGTACTACACACTACAGTACATAAAGCAGGTCATTGTTAAATAACTTACAAAGGATAAGCCATTAGAAAACCAATGTGGAATAAGAAAATAGTATTTCAGTGAAAAACAAAATTCTCAAAAAATGTTTACCATGAAAGTTTTAGCAATAGCCATTTCATAATATGAATTCTGTCTAACAACATAACAGCCTATAAAATGAAACTGTTTCCTGTATATGTCAGCACTGGTGATATCTAATCAATAAATCTGCTCCTGTCAAGCTCAAGTTGAATTTGCAGGGAGGATAAAGCATGTTACATAGTCTATCTATATTTATCTCATGAATAAACATTCACCCATTTAAGCCAAAATATACTTTCAGAAAAGGTAAAGAGAAACAGTTATGTATGTTTTCAGGTGAGTTACACTTTTAGTTACTTGAAATATTTTTATTATATCTTCAAGTAAGCTAAATGGAGGATCGAAATATTTACACTTATGTTTCAACACCAGCTTAACAGTCTTTTATTTACCTGGTTTATAGCATCTACATAACACAGAAAATGTGGAGTCAAACGTATAGTCCATTTCCATTGACTATATAATGATTATAGTAGATTAGAAATATCACTATCAATTCTGGTATTTCTTGAAATTAGAAAACAACAATGTTTTTTTTTAAGAAATCTATAGTCTTTTACCAGAACCAAATATTTTTAATGTGTCAATAACAATAATACTATTATTTAGAGCTTTACAGTTTAATAGTGTTTTGTATAATTATAAGATTTATTCAGTGTTTACTATTCATGAGGTATTCAATATAAATTATTATCTGGTATTAAGAAACTGTGATTTTAGGATTTTATGAATCTTGTTCAAAATATTTAAAATATAGGAAGGGAGACTCATAATTTGTACCTCGGTCTGTATCACTCCCAAACCCATGCCCCATAAACTTAAAGTCATGCCCCATGAATATTATGTCATTAATTGTGATGATAATGATTCCCTGTTACTCAGACACATGGCCAGGTTCTTGGTCTCTACACATTAACTGTCTTCCTGTGACCCTAAAACCTCATTTACCCTGGAGAGCCCAACAAAAATAATATTTTTTTAAAAAATGACATTTGATGTTTTCAAGTGGAAAGAACTTCTACTTCTTTTTCTCTTTTGTCATAATATTTTGATTTCTTCTGCAGAATTCTTTTTCAGAAGTTGATTTTTGGATGAGTCATTTTGTGTTAATATCCCCCTAAAAAACCAGAAAACATATTTGACACTCAAATGCCATGCTATTTATCAATTATAATTTCTTACATCATACTTATTTGAAGTCTTTCTCAACCATGTGACTCACATCCAAACAATTCAAGATATGAAATACTACTGTAGAATGTCTCTTTAATATACCTTCTAACAGTTCACCTATCGCTGTTGTGATTCTACCAAATTGGTCAACCCTACCAAGTTGGTCAACTCTACCAAATCGGTCAATTGCTTACTCTTTTCTACTGCTGAAAGATTGCAATAGGAGATCCTTGGTCTTATTTTAACCTCCAATATATTGTCCAAATTGATGTCAGATTTATCATTGCTAAATATTACCATCTGACTACAGACATTCAATACCACTCTACTGTTCTTAGAAAAACTGAAGATCTCTATCTAAAATGGCATGTGCCGCCATGCCTTATATATCCTCCTTCTCCTATTCCTTTCCCTCTTCAATCTCTGCGCAGAATAGTAAAAACACACTTGTTACTTTTAAAATTGAAGAGTCATACTCCAGAAAAGGCAGAGGAGAGTGAGCATTTTGCGCAGAGGCAATGACAGGGGTGAGCATGGCAATTTGAAGTGGAACACTGTGTTCAGCTGAGTGTTTGAGAGTGTAAAACGTGAGGGTTGCAGTTAACTTGAGCCTTTCCTGATCTCGTTCTGATAAAATTAATGATGCCTTTCTTAATATAACTAGAAGTATCACATGATGTTTTTATTTGTTTATCTAGTGAAACTGGATGTCCAGGATTTGATTTATTTCACACATTTGTTTGTGGTTGCAAAACTAGTACCAAACACAGTGTGTGATTCATTCATTATAGGCACTCACATGTTTTGTTAAACTATAGAACTGTTGACAAAGGATTCAATAATTTATTAATCAATTTCAGGATCTAAGATCTCTAAAGTTTTTCTTTTAGTTTATTTTTTGGAGAGGGGAAGAGAGGAAGAAAGAGGGAAGAGAAACATCTATGTGCAAGAGAAAGATTGATTAGGCCCTGAAACCTATATAATTTTATTAACAATTTTCACCCAGGAAATTTCTTTTTAATTACATTTTATTTAATTTTAATTTTTAAAAAAGATTTTATTTATTTATTTTTAGAGAGAGGGAAAGGGAAGGAGAAAGTGAGGAAGAGAAACATCCATGTGTGGTTGCCTCTCACATGCTCCTCCCTGGAGGCCTGGCCTGCAATCCAACAGGCATGTGCCCTGACTGTGAACCGAACCAGTGATCCTAAGGTTTGCAGGCCTGCACTCAATCTATTGAGCTACATCAGCCAGGGCTCTCACAGGAAATGTTTACAAAAACAAACAAACAAACAAACAGGTTAAAAAGAGAAAAAAAAGGCAGAATTTGGATATGATAAATTTCTAGAATATTCACCTTAAATAATAGAGTTAAACTGAAAATTGGATTTGATTCTTTATTCACAGGTGTTTTATGCAAAGGAGGACCTAAAGCTTCAAGATAAAAAAGTGAGTCTATTATTAATGAAACTATTATACAACAAGTAGGTTTTAGTGTAATAATTTTTTCTGTTCTTTCTTTGTGTATGTAATTTGACAAAGGATATCACTATTTGTAATTTATCTACCATCCATGTATTTATCTAAATATAGTATCTATATATTTATATCTCTCTCTACCTACCTATAGAATTTATTTTTAGAGCACTTTCAAGTTCACACTACAGTTTAGCAGGAAGTACAGAGTTCCCATGTACTCTCTGTTCTCTCATGAACACTGTGTTTACCATTCTCACAATCCCCCACCAGAAAGGTGCATTTGTTACATGTGTCGAGTTTCCATTGACATGTCATCACCCAGAGTCTCAAGTTTACATTAAGATTCACTCTTGATATTATAGATTCTATGGGTTTGGATAAATCATTAATGGCATGCATTCACCATGGTATTATGATCATAGTTGTACATATATTATTCACTGCTCTAAAAATCCTCTGTGCTCCTCATGTTCATCTCTCCCTTTTCTCCAGCTCCTGGGAATCACTGATACTTTTACTGTCTCCACAGTTTTGCCTATTTCAAAAATATTTCATAGTTAAAATAATACAATATATAGCCTTTTCAGATTGACTTCTTTCACTGGTAATTTGAATTTAGGTTTTCTCCATGTCTTTTCATGTTTTGAGACCTAATTTATTTTTTAATGTTGAATAATATTCCAGTATCTGGATGTGCCATATTTTATCCACTTACCTACTAAAAGGACATCTGAATTGTTTTTAACTTTTGCCAATTATGTATAAAACTGCTATGAACATCCATGTACAGGTTTTGGGATGAGCACAAGTATTCACTCTTTTGGGTAAATACCAAGGAGTGTGATTGCTGGGTCACATGGTAAAAGTTAGTTTAGTTTTGCGGGAAGCTGCCAAACACAGCAATGAATGAGGTCTCTTGTTGCTCCGTGTCCTGGTGGTCATCATTTGCTGTAGTCAGCGTTATGGATTTTGGTTGTTCTAATAACTGTGTATTGGTATCTCATTGTTGTTTTACTTGGCATTCTCTGATAACATATGATGTGAAGCATCTCTTCACAGGCTTATTTGACATCTGTATATTTTCTTTGGTGATGTGTCTGTTAAGGCCTTTGGCTCATTTTTAAAAAGTGAAGTGGGTTGTTTGTTTTTTTATTGTTGAGTATTAAGAGGTCTTTGTGTATTTTGGATAATAGACCTTTATCAGATGTGTTTTTGCAAATGTTTCCTCCCAGTCTGTGGCTTTTCTTCATTGCATTTGGCTTATTTTAAAATATTTTCACTTTGTAAAAAATTACAGTAATCTAAATAACACCTCTATAATGTTAAATTAATTGACTAATTTCTTCTTTATGTCTTCCTCTTCTCAATTGTATTCTTTGGAGTATTTTCTGATGTTTGTTTTGCTAATTAGCTCTATATTTCTAAAATAATATATTTGTATATCAATATTTCAACTTTTGAAATGATCTACATCTCTTATTTTGATACTTGAGAATATAACACTCTCTACACTCAATCCTATTATCAAAAATAGATACTTGTAGCTCTTTCTAAAGTATTTGTTGTGAATAAGGCTATTGTAAGTTCCTATTAATTACACAAACAGCCCCTTTAGGAGGACACAATTATTATCCCATCAAAGTGACTGAGGTACAGAGAGATTAGTGATCTGAATATTAACAGCCATTGGGTAGTGGGGCCAGAGATGTTGGTTACTATAGCCCCTTCTTGCCATTATCTCTTAATCCATAACATCTCAACTTCTTACTTTGTATGATGGACATTTTTATTAACTGTACAAATATTCATCTCCTAATTTAACATTTACTCTGCAATAATAGTGGCTAAAGCCCTTACTATTAGGGAATTTTTATCTTAGTGGAGAAATAAAGATAAGTAAACAAAGGACTCAGAGTATTAGGGAAACATTAAGAGGGAGAAACTACGTAGCTACTCTGAGAAGGGTTCTCTCAGAATCAGGCACTAAATCAGAAATCCATAGGAAAAGAAGAAAAAGTCTCTTAGAGAGACAAGCTAACACTTAGGCTAGAAAGCAAAAAACAAGCTGTTGTATTTCTGAGTAAAGAAATCAAAGTGACAGGGAAAGAAGGGACATGCAATAAATTTGAGGTCGAAGAGTATGAGGCAGGCTGTATTTCTCTGCAAACCAGGTGTAGCAGACAATATCAAATTCCACGCCTTTTCTCCACTCCCAGTCTCCTCCATACAGGCCCACAGTGTCCTGTATCCTATAGTGAGAGATTTTCCTGGTCTGGAAATCTGGGCAGTCTGAAAGCACATGAGTGAAGTCTTTGACCAATGAATCATGGGAGTGAGAAGATGTATGTTCCAATGAATAATGGGAGTGTCTTAATCAGTTAGAGCTGCTGTAACAAAATACCATAGGCTGTGTGCTGAAACAACACACATTTATTTCTCACAGTTCTGGGGGCTGAGAAATCCAAGATCAAGTTGCTGGCAGTTCAGAATCTGGCGGGAGCCCTCATCCTGGTTTGCGGAAAGCTGCCTTCTTCCTGTGTCCTCCATATGGAAAAGAAGGCTCATTTCTCTTTTGTCCCTTTTATGAGGACATTTATTCCATCTTGAGAGCTTCATTCTCATGACCTGTCTCCCAAAGCCCTGACCTCCAAATACCATTACTTTGGGGTTAGGGTTTCAACATATCAAATGTGAAGGGTTGCAAACCTTCAGGCCATGGCAGTATGCCTTCCAGCTTTCTGCTCCACAGTAAGACAAGCTGAAGCATGTTCCACACCATCTTCTAACAGTCTCAGGATCTGTTTCCAGTAAAACTCAGAAGAAGAATGGTTAAATGTAAAAACTTGGATTTTATTCTTAGTTTGTTAGGAAGTAATTGGAGGCCATTTAAGCAAAGGAGTACTATCATTTGAGTTACTTTTTAATGATAAATGTCACTTTAGCTGCTTTTAAGGGAATCAAGTTGAGAAGAAGCAGCAAGACCTGCTACAATATTCTAATAGTGTAGGCCAAATATAAGAGTGTCTCAAACTCATTTAATTCATATAAGGAAAAAATATAAGTTCAAATGTCTTGAGAGCACTTTGATAAGACTGAAGGTAAGGAGGGATTGCTCAAGTAAGCTAAGGAGACGCTGGTATCAGGGAAGGCATTAGTTATCTTTTCAAGATCGGGCTCAGCGAAGTTAAGCTGGTGAAGCCTGACTAAAGAGGATTCAAAATCAAACAACAGCAATGTGAGGTGAGAAGTGGGAAGAGGGATTTAAACTATTTCTTTCAAGAGGAATTTGTTTTAAAGCAGAGAAGGGAAATGGGAGGGTTGTGGTATGGTATGGTGCAATCGTGGAAGATCATTTTGTTTCTTTTAAGATAGAACTTGGAAGACTACTGAATGCTTATAGAAAATTCTGTTTTTAGAAGCTTTACTCTTCCATTTATTTTCCCCTATTATTATGGACTGAATGTTCGTGATTTCAAAAAATTCATATATTGAAATTTTTTCACCCAATATGATGGTATTAGAAGGTGGGGTCTTTGGAAGGTAATTATGGGTAGGTGAAGTGATGGGCTTCATACCTTGTAAGAGTCAACAGAAGCTTGTTTCCTATGTCTGCTCTCTGCCACGTGAGACAGGATAGTTAGGTAGTCTGCAACCCAGTTGAGAGCCTTCACTAGACTGTGACCATGGGGGAGCCCTGACCTCAGACTCCAGCCTCCAAAACCAGGAGAAATAAATTTCTACTGTTTATAAGCTGTCCAGCCTGCAATACTTTGTTATACAGAAGCCTGAACTAAAATACAGACAACTTATTTTTACTTTCTTACTTATTTTTTACTTTCTTTACTATTTTTACACAATCTAAGTTGATCACATTCATATTTTTACCATAAGCATAGTTAAATCTTTAATGGATGGCTTTCAGATTGAATTTTAAAACAAATAATTACAAATCAGTGCTGAAATTTCTATGACTATACACAGAGGTAGGCAAATGTAGGTTTACACTTGCATCGTGACATTCTTTTGAGTTAGTATACCTATTGTAGTAATCATAACCTAAATGTCTTTTTTAGTAAACAACTGTAAACCTTCTTTTGTCCATCCCTCAACTGAGTACAACAGCTTATAATGTCCTTTGTTGTATCTATACAGATTCTCTAAAGAATAAAATTGCAATTTTTCTTCTTACTCTACTGATCTTTATTATCTTACTCAATTTGTTCTCCAATTCTCTGTCCAATCAGATTTCCTGTTCCTTTTTTCTCCTGATTAACTCTCACTGCTCTCCACTCTCTCCTCCTTTGTGGACTCACTATCTTTCAGACTTATTTGAGTATCGATATTCTAGGAACTCTTTCCTCTCTTTCCTCAAGTTTAGATCTACCTTTTTCTTTTTTTGCGCACTGCTTTATTTTTGCTGAATGCTGTGTTTGCTTAAGTACCTTTCTAGAATAGAGTATGGAGTACATGTTCTGAATTTTGCATTGCACATGTGTCTGAATTCTACACTCATACTGGATTATTACTCAGAAGGATATCAAATTCTAATATGAAAACACATTTAAAAAGAATTTTGAAGACATTTTTCTAATATCTTCTAATGGACAGAAACTAGACATATATCCAAATCCAGGCTGATTCTCACCCGTATGAATGAGAAGTATTGTTTTGCTTTATTTTTCTTTCTCCTTCAAAACTTTTAGTATCTTGTACTTATTATTTTTTAAAAAATTTGTACTGTGTTTATAAAACAAGTTTGGATTTACAGAATACTTAAGCAGATAGTTCAGGAGTTCCCATATGCTCTCATACACAGTTTCCCTTATTTTTAACAAGTTGTGTTAGTGTGGAGCATTTGTTATTGTTGTTATTATTATTATTGCTATTTAAAGATTTTTAGAGAGAGAAGGAGGGAGGGTGAAAGAAAAAGAGAAAAACATCAATGTGTGGTTGCCTCTTTACACCCCCTACTGGGAACCTGGCCTACAACCCAGGCATGTGCCCTGACTGGGAGTTAAACCAGTGACCCTTTGGTTCACAGGCTGGCACTCAATCCACTGAGCCATGCCAGCCAGGTCTTGTTATTATTAATCAAAATACTTAATTAACATAACTCAATAATGAATTTTAAAAAATATTTATTATTACTAGCTAAAATCCATAGTTTACACTATGGTTCACCTTTTGCATTCTACATTTCTATGGATTTTGAAAAACGTATAATGTCATGTATCCTACAAAAGAGTCTCATCACTCTAAATCCCCCATGCTTTATCCCTGTGCCTGCCCTCATTTTGTGCCCCATCCACTCCACTCTCCCAGCCCAGACCGCTTGACCACCAGTAGTCCTTTTTGCTATGCCAGTTTGCCTTTTCCAGAATGACATACATTTGAAATTATGTAGCATACAGCCTTTTCAGTGGTTGCCTTTCAAAATTGGCTGTATTAACTTAGTAGTATGATTTTATGTTCCTCCATACCTTTTTATACTTTGAGAATTGATCACTTTCTGTGACTGAATATTATACTTACAGGTTTACCATAGTTTATTTATTCATTCACTAATTAAAGGGCCTCTTGGTTACTTCTAGCTTTTGACGGTTATGAATAAAGCTGCAGTAAATGTTTCTGTGCAGGTTATTGTATGGGCATAGACTTTTAACTCAGTTGGGTAAATACTTGGGAGCATGGTTACTGGATCATATGGTGAGACTACGTTTAGCCTTGTAAGGAGCTGCCAACACTCTTTCAAAGTGGTTGTACCGTACTAAGTGGTTTCTACCAGGAACAAATGAGAGTTCCTACTGCTCTACACTCTCTCCAGTAGTTGTCACTTGTCAGTTTCATGGATTTTGGCCATTTTAATAGCTTTGTGGCACTTCATGGTTTTAATCTGAAATTCCCTAGAGACATATATTGAGCATCTTTTCATATGCTTTCTCTCTGCAGTATGTTTTGGAGAGGTGTCTAGTCAGCTTTTTGCCCATTTAAAAATTCTTACATGTTGCAGCTGAAACTGTAAATGTAAGACATTTTCGTTGATTTTTTAATTGGGCTCATTATTCTCATGAAATTTAATAAGAATATGTCTAGGTTTGTTTGTTTTTTTGTTTATTTATTTTGCTATACAGTCAATAAGTTTCTTAAGTATCTATACTTATATCCTTTATGAGAAACTGCATTTTATTGTTTTAGTTAGAAATTATTTCCCATTGCTACTTCATTTTCTCTATTATGCTGACATTATATTGAGAACTGACACCTTCGAGTTAATTTCTTATGTATTTATTAAATCTCATTCTTTCTATGCTTTGGTTGTAATTTCAGAAAAGGATTCTTTTTCATTTTTGTTCTTACGATGCTTTTTCTAGAGATTATCCTGTTCCCTCATTATTGCTTTTTTATAGCATTTTGTTCTTGTTTAGTGAGTGCAGTATCTTCTTGAACATCTTTTAAAACAGCAGTCCCCAACATTTTTGGCACCAGGGACTGATTTCATGGAAGACAGTTTTTCCACAGACTGGGGTAGGGGTTCTGTTCTGGGGATGATTCAAGAGCATTCCATTCAAGCTCACCTCATGCCGTGCAGCCTGGATCCTAACAGGCCCAGTCGGGTATCTGTATGTGGCCTAGAGGTTGGGGAACCCTGTTTTAAGATACGGTACTTAGATCGTTTTTTCTAAGTATGCATTATATTTGTCCATGCCAGAATTATTTTCCTCCATCTTCATCTTGGTATCTTTTCTTACCATTATAGGATTTCCTGTCATGATTGGTGACATGGCTTTTCTGTCTATTTTGGAAAAAATGAGGCTGTAAAAAGCTGATGGAATATCTTTGTATGTGGGTGGGAATTGTTAGTTTTATGGAAATGTTAGTTTCTACTGGATATGTTAGTTTTATGTTAGTCAGAAAATTAGTAATTATTATGAGAAAACCCTAAATATTAGTGTGAAGTATTTTCACTGATGTTTTTTATTTTTGGTAATCGTAATTGTGGGAGGGAATTTATATAATTAAGATAGGGTTTTAATTATTTCCTGTTTTCAGCCCTCATTTTTTTGTTGTTCTCCAATTATAATAGGAATGTGCAAATTTTGAGCTTCTCCAAGAATTGAAAGGCCAATTCTCCAGGCCAAATTTTTCCTTCTCATTTTCCTCTTGAATCATATTAAATATATCAGACTCCATCTATATCCATATAAGTCCATCCATCTGTTCTATCATCATCTATTTATCCATCCATCATCTATCTTCATCATCCTCATCCTCATATACCTTTAATCTGTCAGTGAATTAATATTAGATATTATCAGAATTAAATGACTTTGAAAAAAAATAAGGTAGCCTAAACAAATTCTTACTTGGCTGTGAAAACTTCCAAGAGAAGTGAGTAGAAAGAAAATTAAACTAATTTCCAGGGGTGACTGAAAATGGAAGTTAGTATTAAGAAGTTTATTGGACCTGAAGAAAACTGTACCAATCCCATTTGGGTATTCATATCAACGCTGCTCTATTAGGTACTGAGAATGTACACAATCAATGAGAAAGGATTATTATTGTGAGTTACAGAAATAAAGAAAAGTGGTATCTCCACTACTTCTGAAGGCAGAGTCAGTATATTCAGTGCTTCACCAAAAAGACATGCGTTCTGGGGAGTATGAAGTCTTTGTAAGTTAGAAAGAAAACCTCTAAATGTGAGAGAGGAATCCTGTGGGAGACACAATGTACTTATTGAAGGTCTTTTCATGACACAGTTTTGTTTTGTTGGCCATGGTTATATAAATATTGCAAAAGAGTAATAAATATTACTCCTCAACCACCATCCCACCCCTACCACCGAGAGTGACCTTGCCCTTCAACTTCATGATGGCTTAGTGGCACAGTTCCTTTGAGCCACCCGTAAGCACAGGGAAGATACCACTTGGGTTTCTGAAAAAGCAGTGATCTAATGAAAGTTAAGAAAAAACACTTCCCTTGTTATCCTGATACTTTAAGACAAGCTTTCCCCATAACTACCAAGGACGAATAAAAGTATATTGAAAAAGTTTAATATCTGTTAACCACAAAAGTCTAAGTTATCCAGTGCTAATCAGTACTCACTCTCTGGGCAGTGACCTCCATCTGTTTCTTCTCTCAGCCGACGTTCTTGTCCTGAATTTCAGTTCTTCTGTACCTTATTTATTGCAAAATAAAAACTATTGATTTCTATAATTAATTTCCACTGAGGGGATAGCAGCTTCCAGGATTACTTCTGCCAGCACAGTTGGCACTTTGCTAGGGGTTTTCAGGAATTCCAAATCTTTAACAAGAAGGGAAGCATCACTAGTGATCATGAAAAAGACATTGTTACAGATGGGCTGTAAGGATATCGCAGCTCCTTCGACAATATTTTCTGAGCACCTGGGAGCTGGGTCAGGAGAGTGTTTCAGCTACAACTTGAATAGCATGCCACACAGTGATTAATGCTCACATGAAAGGCTGGCCTTCACAGAAACAGCTATGAGCTGAACATCGCTAATGCATGTCTTGCTTTGCTGACACACCTGCCCTCTTCCTACTATGTTTAAAATAACAATAATAACAATGACAGTAAGACTTAAAAATAGAATAGAATTAACAACCATTAATAGAAGCGCGAGAAGCCAATCAAAATGTTAATATAGGATTCATACCTCAGATGACGTTGTGGACAGCCTGTGGGTAATTTGTAAAACATTATACTCAAGAGACAGAAAATTATAATTATTATGTTGGCTTTAAATTTCAACCTCTGATACACACTACTGATCCTAGGAACCTAGGTCAAAGTAGTTAGAAATAACATCTTGTGGGGCCACAGAGCGGCACCAATTCCAGCCTAGGAATCGAGGAAGCTGGAGGAGCAGTGGCCTGACTGCTTCTGCGTCACACCTACAAAACGAGCCAGCCATTCAGTGACATTGTATGTGACTGTTAGTGGCCAAGGCACCCTTCAAAAACCTCAGGGTATGATGACTGCTGGTTTACTTCTAGTCCTATGTTCCACATTGTGCACACATATTTTATGTGGCTAACCCTAACCAGGAATCATGCAGGGAAGGAAATTATGGGAAAGTGTAGTTGCAGCTTAGCTAAGCTGAAACAGTACAAACCCACCACAACTGGTAATAATGGAAATTTGTAAAACTCCCCCAAATGGGCATTCTCCCCCTATTTATGTAGTTGCTATACTGAACAGTAGCCGAGTAATTAAAATCTCACCCTCGGATGTGTCATTATGAAAACCCTGTTGGTGCTCTGAGATGTGAAGTCAAGCATGAGACTCCATTGCATAGCATCCTGTGAATTTCTGCACCTTATCAGCAGCCAGTGATTCTTTTGATGGCACAGCAATAAAAATACCCACTTTATAGCAACAAAATGAATAATATGCTTGGATCCATAAAAGCTAATACCCTCCTTCTCCCAGCCATTTTCTACTGCATCTGTGCACACAGGCACGTGTACACAAACACGTAAGCACACATGTGCACACACAGAGAACATAGCCTGAGGTAGTACTATAAATTACCTCAACATTAAAGAGAAAAATTATTCTGGGTGAGTGTATTTAAAAGAAGTACTGTGAACGCTCATAGAGAAGACGCATGTGCAAATAAAATGGAAAGGAATTTAGTTTTGATCTAATGATTTCATCGGTTTTTTCTAAGCAGCATTGTAATTACCTGCACAGGAGCTTAAAATAATATGTGCAGTAAGTTTCGGGAGTTATCTTATTAACTGACTATGTTATGTGTATTCTAGATGGAAATGAGCTTGTGTGTTTTGACTTTATGCATGAGGCTTGGACCCCCTGGGTATCCTGTGGGGACCAGGCACAGCTGATTTCTTCATCTGCAAGGCAGAAGCCTGGCAGCCACAGATGTGAGCTCTCCAGCTTTAGGTGTGAAAGCTGCCTTGTGAAGCCAGCACTCAGGCAATTAAGCAAGTCACCCTCCTGGTAAGCTGGTGGTTCGCCAGGCCACTGTCACTGTGGCCCACACTGCTTCGGGCAGAGGGCTTGGTGAGATGGAGCACCTGAAAGTTTTTGCTGGAAAAGAACAAAGACTCAAAAGCTGAAATATTAAGACCCTCCTTTATAAAACTTTTTTAGCCTTTAGCTCCACATTCTACAGACAGGATCAAATGGAAGATACAGAACTCAAGATAATATAACATCATTGGTAATCATGAAGAAATCCTTAGAGTTATCAAGCATGCACATTATGAATTGCCTATGGTTAGATGTTAATTATGTATTATATTGTTTCTAACATAATTTTTACAACAACCCTATCAAGTCTGTATCAGTATTACTGTTTAGAGATTAAGAAACTGGCTTAGAGTGGTTCAATGCCTTATGGTAGGTTATACAGACTGTAAATGGCCAGGGCAGGATTGAAACACAGATTTCCCTAATATTAATTCCAGCCAGGGTCCACTTTAAACCCTTTCTAAACAGACAGGACACACATGAGTTAGTAAAATAAATAGCCAATTTTATTTGGCTCTCTGGCACAGCTGCCTTGTATTATGCCATGGTTTTAATGCATCATTTGTAAAACTAGTTCTACCTTGTCTTTATTTATCCGTTAGTTTAAGAGTTACTAAGAATTGTGAATTGGCACATAGCAGTTTTCCAAATTTTTGATATAAATATTAAAATTTTGAATAGTTTGTATTTTCAATGAGGAGGATGGAAAGAAAAAATATTTCTTTTTTTTTATGTGGCTAAGCAGGCACATAATCAGAACTTTTGCTAGGTGCTTATACCTTTTGTCACCAACAATGAGATTGTTGTCTAACGAGGACACATGGGTGATATGTTATCACCTATGAAAAAGGAGACCAAAGTCAAGGTTAAGGAACTTTTCTGCATGACAAGGAGAAAAGTGTTTTTTGCTGGGATGTGAATTGGCCCAATTCTAAGACGTTCTCCCTCAGTACTTTTCAAGCATTGTTTTCTATCTTTATCACAACTCTATAAAGTTAGTAACTATTCACCTCATTTTACAAATGAGGAAAATGATACAAATTAACTTAAATTGCCCCAAATCTCAAGGCTATTACTTGGCAGAGAAGGAAATCAAATGCCTAACTTCAATGCTTGTGCTCCTTCCACTAACAGATTCCCCCAGATTGCTAAGTATATACATGGGAATGTAACAATCCATAGAAAATAAATTACTTTTAAAAAGAGAATAGAGTAAAAATAATGCATGGAGCTGTTAAAGAGTGTTGAGTCTCTGATACTTGCCACTGAAGCAGGTTACAGTTTGGTGAATTCTTTTTTTCTATCAGGCTTCAAAGAATATTTCACTTTGAAAGTTTTCAAATATTTTTGCCAATATTCTCATAAAGACAGCTTACATGAAATACTCATTAGAAAAACTCTTTGTAGTAAACAGGAAATGTAGCTAGAGGTGGTGTATTATAAATCACATGCTGTGTTACTTTAAATGGAAAGAAAAATAGCTCAAGAGCATGGAATTAAATATACACATGATTATTCACAGAAGAAAATGGAACAATAATAGGTTTCTTTAGATTGCCTTTCATTCGAAAAAAGTCTACACTTACTTTTAACATCAATTATTCTCACCCAGGATTATGTCTATTAATGTTGCACTTTACCACTTCAATTGCTCCATGAGGACTAGAAATTGAGTAAGTAACATTTACTTAATACATTAATACTATTATTGGTAATAACAAAACTTCATTAATGGAGATAAAATATTCAATCCCACCCTTTAAACACTATGTCGCTTTAATTTTAATTGCATTCAAAAGCTCTTTATGTGTACCTTGATGCTGCCTTCTCCAGGAGGTGGACCTTAACTCCCTGCTGAGGTGAACCTCTGCTCCCAGGTCCCTGCCAGGAGACTTAAGAGTGGGCTAGAATTATTGACTCCTCACTTCCAAAGAACAGAGTAGGGAGAACGAGAAGAGTAACTGTATAGCAAAGAAACCTATGAAAAACTACCCTAAGGGATGAAACAACTACAGGAGTCCGTGATACCATGTAGCCTGTGTCCCCAATATAATGTGAACAGAGGGTACTCACCTATATACTACTTTCTCCAAAAATCCATAGCCCTGGTTTCATCACAGGGGAAGCATCAGACAAGCCCAGTTTGCAAGGCATTGTAGAGGATACCTGCCTAGCACTCCTCTAGACTGTCAAGGTATTGAAAGTGAAAGTACATTGAGATCAGAGACCAAAAAGATGACAAATAAACATCAATTATAGCTAAACAAAGCATCCTGAATTGGATCTTCAAACAGAAATGTACCATTATGGGAAAACTGGTAAAATCAAAATAAAACCTTGAGTTTAGTTAATAGTAACATGTCAGTGTCAGATATTTTTTTGAGAAGTGTACCACATCTTATATATTATGTATATAGTTGAAGCACCATGTTTAGTACTCCCCAATTGCCCCTTTATTCATTCCATAGCATTAAATATTAAAATATAGTATTTAATATTTCCATGCAAATTGAAAGTGCATAGTCTTTTCAAATAGTTTCATATTACATTTTTAACTTTGTATACATGATAAGCTATTTCTACAACTTTATTTTGAATGGTGTACAGTATTAAAATTCACTGACATTTATACATAAAACTGCCATCTATTCATTTCACTGCTTGTAGTAATCCAGTGTAATGTATTTTATTTTGTATTTATTCTTTATCGTATTTTGCCACCAGCATTTATCCCCTCGTACCCTCTTCCACCTCCACCTACCCCACCCCCACAATCACCACATTCTTGTCCTCCATGAATTCTTCCTGTTTTTTCTTTTTTGCTCAATCTCTCCACCCTCCCCCACCCCCACTCAGAGCTGTCAGCCTGCTTGTTATCTGTGAGTCTGTCTCTATTTTGCTTGTTTGTTCAGTTTGTTCCTTCGATTCCACATATGAGTGAAATAATATAGTATTTGTATGTCTCCGGATTATTTGTGTTTGTCTGACTGGCTTATTTCGCTTAGGATAATGTTCTCCTGGTCCATCCATACTGTCATAAGGGGTAAGATTTTGGGTTGCTCTGCAGTCTCTAGAGCATTTGATGATAAGAAAGTTAGCACTGTGGTTTTAATTTTCATTTCCCTCATTACTATTAAGCTTGACCATATTTTTCTGTTTATTTACCATTTGTGTTTTCTCCCTTTTGAATTGCCTGCTTATGTCCTTTGTCCATTTTCCCCTAAGGGGGGGTTTCTCTTTTTCTTATTTATATGTAGGTCTTTATGTATTCCATATACTAATCACCTTCTTATTATGACTCTGAGTAGCAGATACCTTCTTATTCGTATCTCTTCTTCTTGCACTTTATGATAACCTTTAGGCACAGTTTTCAATTTTTATGTATTTTAATTTAGTAATCTTTCCTTGCCAAGGTCATAACATTATTCATTATATTTTCTTCATATTTAGGTAGTTCATCTATCCTGATTGCTGTAGATGTATGGTGTGAGATTAAATGTAATTTTATTTAATTTCATAATAAATATAACCTCTGTGTAGCATCACTCAGAAATTTGTTTCCCTGTTAGTCTACACTGTACCCTGTGTAACACAGCAAGTCCTAGAGATGTGTACGGATGCTTCACCCTGTTTATTCTGTACTGTGATTTTGTTGTTTACTCCCCAAACAGTTCCACAATTTTATAAAAATCATTGAAAAATGTATAATTTTTAAAAATAACACTCTTATAGAACTCTTGTCAATTTCTGTTGCTATCTTAAATAGTATTCTAAATGGTGGGTTTTGTAATGGTGGTTAATGTTTAAAAAGGCAACTAATTTTTGTGTGTTTATTTAGTGCATTTAATATTAAAATATTTTATAACATTTCTAACCTCACTGCAATAATTATTATAATTTATTAATATAGTTCCTTAGAATTTCCATACAGGCAATCACATTGACAATACCATTTTTTTTTGTTTTTTTCAGTCCTACCATTTCTATTTATGATATTATTAAATACTGCAATATCTAAAAATGGTTCTCAGCTGGAAAGAAAGTTTGTCCCAGGAACATTTGGTAATGTTTGAAGAGATTTTTGCTAGTTATAACTCGTAAGGGTGCTGGTCTAATAGAATGGGTAGCAGAAAGTTGCTGCTAAACATCCCTAGTGTTCACATGACAATCCCCTACAACAGAGAATTATCTGGCCCAAAGTGTTGATACTATTGAGGTTAAAAAATTTCCAGTACACAGTCAAATGCAATCTTTTTTTGTGAAAGGAAACCGGTGTTTTCCAACATCTTACAACTAAATGTCCTGTTCTATGGGTTTTTAAAAGACATCCTTTATTAGAAATGGTTGTTGACTTTTACAAATATTTACTCTATATTTATGAGATGTCACTTTTTAATATATTAGTGTGGTGAACTGCATTAACTGATTTTTCTAGTGGCTAAACTTCCCTTGCATGCCTGGAATAAACTCAACTGGATTATGATGTATTGCTTATTTTGTATATTGCTGCATATGGCTTGGCATTCTTTTGCAAATATTCAGTAATCCCTGTCCATAAACTATATCCACCTTATTATTTGTATTAATTATGTCCTTGTCTTTAAGTGCACATTGACTTGGTCTTTAGGCAAATTCACAGCAATCTATTGAATTCTTAATGTAACTGAAATGCAATTCTCAGCCAATAGCATTACCTACATACAATGTTACTGATACAAAGCTTACACTGAGACTGTTGTATGTGTAACATGAGTAATTGTATGACTGTATATAACAATGGAGTAATTATGGGCTATTCTCAGTCTATATTCCTCTGTTCCACAGGTTACATTCTCTGGAAACAGATGTTAAAACAGAGTTTCAGATACACTTTGTCATTAGTGATTGATATCTGTGAAGAGCAGAATGACACAGGAAAAAAATTAATACAGGTCCAGTAAAGCCTTGGCCTATGCTGGAGAGAAGCGAGTGCCATCCATCTCATGGGGAGTTAGAATGGCCTCTCCTTATATTCCTATCTTGCTCAGTCACTGCATGTTCTCATGCCAGGAAAGGGCAACATCCCAGGAGAAGGGACATTTGCAGACAAACGCTCAGGGAGGGAAGCACTGAAAACTATCAGTTAACTCCCCTGCACTGCAATGACAAAATTCTTTCTTAAAGGAAGTTCTGGATGATTTATCTCCTGGTCAGTCATATATTTTACCTCTGCAAAGGAGTAATTGATATAAACAAAGGTTATGGAGATATCACAAAGAAGTTGAGTAAAGCTCTTTGGTCTCAAATTTGTATCACAGTGTCCTATGAACTTGAAGTATTTTATCTCTGGGAATCAATAATCCAATTATATTACTCTCAAAATATAAAGCTAAGAAAAGGTTTTCTGTGGAAAATTAGTATTTATACCAGGATTATTGGACATTTTCATTAGTGTTATTTGTTTCTAAGCAGTTATTTTAAAACAGTTCATATTTAAAAAATTTAGATATTGCAGTTCCCATATTCCTCACTTGCAGTATTGTTGATTAAATTGTGTCCTCCTCAAAATATGGTTAGTTCTAATGCCTGGCCCCTATGATTGTGACCTTATTTAGAAATAAGGTTTTGGGGTGATGAACATGACACAGGAACTCAAGAGTTAAATATTGTAGCCTTAGTTGTTAGTCTTAAGTGATTATTGCCTGTGGGAAGCTGTTGTTCCAGGATTGGAATGCATGTGCCTCCGGAAGCTTCAGGCAATTATCATATTTTGCTGTGTATAATATGCACCTATGTTTTTATGCACATTATACACATATTATCATACCCATCATATGTAATTATTATACCAACATATAATGTGCATCTTTATTTTTCCCTAAAAAATTTGGGCAGAAAAAGTGTGCATTAAATGTGGCTGAATATGGTGTATTCCAGAGGGTCAGCAAGCCATGGAGAAGGCATCTGAGTTATTGTGCTCCAGGGAGGAAGCTGTGATGCAAAGAATTTTTGATCAACAAATAAAGAAGCACTAGGAAAATTTCCTCTGGACTGCAATTCTTATCCAATTAACCTTTCTCCAAACCCCTTACCTGCCCTTTCTTCTCCTTATAAAAAGTTCAGCTTGAATGGAGATGTTAAGATGGCTTTTGAGAG